CTGTAGGTTTGTTCTTAAGTTGAATTTGTATGTAAATTGGAATAGGTACATTTTTTAAGTGCAACTCCAGCCAAAAACATTGTTTTGGATAGCATAGGGAAGGGTTAACCCCCTGTAACGTTTGTTTGGCTGTCTGTGCCGCGGTTCAGAAAATGTCACCTCACTTTCTGTCCCTGTGACAATTGTATTTGGAAAATTTTGGGTTGTTGTGGAAACAAGGATTGGTGATAAAGCTTCAGTGGAGACACATTTTTCCTCTCACTTCTTGTTGTCTCAAGGACAGGAAGTGAGATTAAATCTTTCTAATAAGGATAGAGACAGTAGTAAAAACCTCACAGTGACCTGGAAGAAGAAGCAGGCACCCCTCGTCTGCACGTCTAACAAGAGCCAACTTACTGTAATGTGCATACAGTGCTACGATCCAGACCCAAAAAGGCGGGCACTCTTCGTCGGTACAAGCGTGGTAGCATTACAATTACTGAAATATGGCGCGGTACGCTTTGGCTGCAGCCTGGGACCCCCTGCTGTACAGTAGTAGCCTTCGTTTGTAAGTAGGGGTCGTATGTACCCAGATAGCAAGGATAACTTGCCACAAACTTGTGTCAGGGTGAAATTGTCATTTTGTTAACTTGCTGCACATATTCCTGGCAAGTTGTAGACTTGCAGAACACTTGCAGCACAAGTTCTAGTTGACACTTTTTGCATTTGTAGCAAATTTGCTTGGCAAGTCTACAGCAAGAGTCCTGCAGGTCTTAGCAAGAGCTCTGCAAGCTCGCTGGTCTGGAGACTTGCAATGCAGACTTGCTGTAATTGTGCAACAAAATTGTGAAGCTTGGCAAGTCTGCAAGAGTTTAGCAAGTCATTTTCAAACTTGCAGCACAATTACTTGCTATCTGGGTAAGTCCTAATTTATGCAAGCTTGCACCTTCAACAACAAATTGGCAACAGTCACTATCATATTTTTGTTCGGAAAGCTGAATTTTAATGGTGTTTGAAAACAACTACTGATCTGAGCGTGAACCTTGAGTTGAAGTTTTTGTATGTAGGAGTATTTATTGACACAGGGTAGTCATGTGCAGCCAATTTGCATCTTTCATGCTTGGCATAGCACAAAACTAAGAAAAGTTAATTTAATGATGTAGATTGATGCTTGTGCTATTGTGAATGCATGTTACCTGACTCCATATCATGCAGATATTAGTTAAAAAAATAAGTGAGAAGCCTTCGTGTATCACTTGTTAATTACTGCATCTTTCAGGTAATAGGAATCTTAAAGCTCCGCATTTTCTGACCTGTAATCAAATGTCCCCATTTTGAAGCCTTATATGCAAGTAATTGACCATAAAAGGTTAATGGGGATTCGGGTACTGCCGAGGGGGACATGAATCAATAAAAAAAAAACACTTTTGAAAAATAGTTTATAAAGGAGCAGGGATTTTAACATTGCTTAAAGTGAAACAATAAAAATAAAAAATGTCACTTATCAGCGGGGCCTTAAACAGCCTGTAAAGTGGCACATCGGTACAATGTATAGAACCTGCTGCAGCAAAACTGACATTTGTAAAGAAAAAAAATGACATTTAAAAAGGAAAAAAAAAAGTGCGCGGTTCCCCCTCCCAAACAATACCAGAACCTTTAGGTCTGGTAGGAATGTTAGGATGGACCCCAAAAGTCATACCAGGCCCGTAAGGTCTGGTAGAGATATTGAGGAGGGACCCCATGTAAAAAAAAACCTCAAAAAATAAGTCATACCAGGCCCTTAAGGTCTGGTAGGAATTTTGAGGAGCCCCACCCCCAAAAATGGGGGAAAAAAATGTGACCGCTAGCTCCACCCAACTGTTCACAGTTGTACAGCATCTGACAGGTGAGCCATAATTGGGCAAAGTCATCATGACTTTGCCCAATCATGGCTCTTACAGAGTACTGTGCCCTGATTGGGCAGGTGCAAGGCTTTAGCCAATCAGGGCTCACAAGGAGCCCGACCCTACTGTCCAGAAGCCAGAATGGTGTTGCAGAAAGGCATTATTTCTTCTATATGCCCAAAACTCTGCAGAGAATAATTTTTATTTCCAAACCATGGGTAAATAAAACTTTGTTACATATTTATTGCAGAATGTTGTACTTTCCCTGGAGGTCGCCTTCAATATTCTGTTCATGGACTTGGTCAAGTTGTCCAACGGTGAGCCTGTCAGATTCTTCCTTTGCAGAATGACATAAGGATAATCTCAGTGGTTTTAATGGAACAGCATAGCCTGTCAGGGAAACATGTTCCCTTTAATAAACAAGTCCCACAGTATTATGTTTGTAATAATGCAATACTAGGCAAGGTATACAATTAAGAAAGAGGGACAGCGAATACATTGAGACTCCTGTGGTGGCATTGCTCATCCACATCACCCAGCACCCTTGTGATATGGTTATTTGGTTTTATGTGTAGAACTGATTCAATGGGATGCTGGACTAAAATGTTCTTTTTGTGCCTGTAAGTGCATATACAGTACCCTCTTATATATACTCAGTCTCTGTCTACAGTATGTGATAAAAGGCTCTTTTTTTTTATTTTCTTGCCCTTTCTCTGCCCTCATCCACACTAAAGGAACTGACCACCACACTGACAATAACTCTGCCTCTAATGTCGCCACATACTTCTCACATTCCAAACACTGAAATAGGGGGGAAAAAAATAAGCGGGTAGAAGGAGATGTAGAGAATATGGAAAGATAGACAAGGAGGAGCTCTGCAATCCATCATATTGTGTACATAAACAAGGGAAAGTATTAAGCAGGATTTTATTGTATACAAAGAAAAAAGTAATGTAACAAAATAGAAACATATATTTAACCACTTGCTGACCAGGTGTGTACACCCCCTTCCTGGCCAGGCCATTTTTCAGTATTAAGCGCTGCGGTACTTTGACTGACATTTATTCCGTCATGCAACGCTATACTGAAATGAATTTTATACCATTTTTTGGGGACAGATAGAGCTTTCTTATGGTGGTATTCAATCTTTTTTTTTTTTTACTATATTAAGGAAAAATGACTGAACATTTTGAAAAAATAAAGTTTTTTTTACATTATGTTATAATACATTTATTATTACCCAATTTTTGGTAAAATATAAAAGATCGGGTCACGTCGGGTAAATAGACACCAAACACGTGAGGCCTTAAAATTGCGCGCACCCGTGAAATCGCAAAAACTACCACACCCAAAATTGACCATAGGCGACGCTTTAAAAGCTTTTACTGCTCATCAGTTTAGTGTTAACAGTGATTGATGGCCCTAAAATTATTGCTCTCACTCTGACGTTCGCTATGTACTATGTTCAGCATAATGGGCGCAATCGTCGTTTTCACACGTATATGCGCACCCGACGCATGTTTGCACACGTGTATGTGTGGGTGGGGACTTTAAAAAAAATTTGGTGTTTTTTTCATTCCTTTTCATGTGTAACTTTTAGACCCCGTTCACATTGAGCGATTTATCGCGCGGTAATTCCCGCGATATCGCGGCAAATTACCGCGCGATATCGCGCTCCAATGCAATCCAATGGGGCAAAGGGTCCTGCTGTAGCGGGTCGTGTGTCGCCACAGCAGGACCCTTTTTTGAGCGGATTTAGCCGCGATTCAAGCTTGCTCAATGCAAGCTTGAACGCGACATCGCGCTGCAAATCTCGCGATGTCGCGCAATATGCAAATCGCGCGACAAACGCGCGATTTGCATATCGCGCAGTGGGAACGGGGCCTAAAGTTTTTGTTTTTTTTGCAACTTCAATTTTTTTTCACTTAACTTTAGTATCACATAGGTGGATTTCTTAGCCCCCTATGTGATAACAATAAAGATATGTGACAGGTCCTCTTTATGGAGACATCAGGTGTCTCCAATACCCCTAATGTCACCTGGGGACCAGCAAAGAAGCTAATGAAACACAGAACTGCTTCATCAGCTTCTGAAGCTGGAGAGTGACACAAGAATGCGGAAGTGATGTAATATACAACACTTCTGCATTCCGACACCCGAGAGGGTACCAGAGGGAGATCGTGTACCGAGCCCCAGGGGGAGGGGCGCTCTGATTGGCACCCCCATACAAGCGATCCGCCAACTCTATAGCCTGCAGATCGCTTGTCTGCCTGTTTTTAAATTTTGGTAGTTTCCCGCTCGCACGCGTGGGGCTAACAGTCTTTGGACGGCCTGTTAAATCCAGGAAGCTCCCGGCTGGCTGTATTCCCTACGGGAGGCGGTTAAAGCAGAACTGGACATGCTGGAAAACATCTCAACTGGTTAGTGCAGTCTAGGAACCAGCAAGCACTTTAGGGAGCCAATGGAGTTGTCCACCTATTACCACAAATGAATGGAATTAGATAAATGTAAGCTACATTGCTTAAGAGTGCTGCTTTTATAGTTACCACAGTGTGTAATTGTGAGTACAGCTTGCTAGGCAGCAAATACACACCTCTTAAAGGGTATCTCCACCTAGCAAGAAGTGCTGCTCATTGTGGTCAGATGACCGTGCTGACCAATGAGTGCTCGATATTTGCAAGTGTTATGCTAAGTGCTCAGCCTGAGGGTTGAACAAAAACATTTATAATAGATTCCTCTATCCACGCCAAACAGGGTGGTCTTGCCACTGCCAGAGTACTTGAACAGACAGCAGCTGATTGCCTGCTGTCACTGTTTATACAAAGAGTTTTCCATCAGGCTCCTTCAATTTTCTGATGAAAGGATGTCAGTCAGAAGGCTACCGACAGCGACACCCACTGTGCCAATTTGTATGGTCAGCTTAACTCAATGCAGACAGTATCCTTGGTGAAAGTTTAACCCGGCACCCCAAGTGCTGTATGACTGTAAAACACATTGAATGTGCTGAATGTAAATAGAATTCACTACTTCTTTCATATTTACTAATGTTGATGTATGGTTTTTTCCCTTCAATGCTTTGTTCACAGTGCACACTTGTGTCTAGATATTGCAGCAAGGATCTAATCAGGATTTTTTTAGCAGGCTGACATCTTCCTCTTGTGTGAGTGGGAATCAGAATGGCCTCCGTTAACCTGGAGAACCAGCTGCAGAGTGCTCAGAAGAATCTGCTGTTCCTGCAACAAGAGCATGCTAACACACTGAAAGGCTTGCACACTGAAATCCGCCGGCTACAGCACCATTGCACAGGTAATGATGGAAATGATCGAGTCTGTATTGCCGATTTGGTGTTCAGTATATCTGGAAGAGACATTGTGGGCTGATATAGTGCACTGACTTGGAACATTTATTTCAGCTGACTGGCTCACACATATTGTGAGACATTTTGTCAGAGTTGCATTGCAGAAGAAAATATGGCAAATACAATTAAATGGCATTCACATAGCTCCTGAACATCACCCAAACCATTCTATTGGAGCAGTATATAGCAAAGAATAAAGGTACAGTATCCGTATCCATCTGAAATTGGATATCCACACAGCCCATAAAGGACCGTTTTGGAAAAAGAGGTTGTAGGTGTGGTTCCTAAATAATGTATCTGTTCTTGAATGTTCTGCCTGTGTATCAGTAAGACATCTGGCTTCTATGGAGGTCTCTTATCCTTGTCCCTGTGTTCACTGATCTGTATAAAATTGAGGCTTGGATGACCCATAATACATGACTAGGCTTATATAATTCTGCTGGGTTGTCCATCCTTCTTCATGAGTCAGCTGGTTTAGCTAGACGTGCTTGCTGCTATGACGACTGTGTGTTTACAGCATAAAGTAACAATTTGGTTAATTGTTACTTGTTTCTTACTGGCAACCTGCACCTCTTGCTTGTTTGTTAATTTAAATATCATATTTCTCTTTGTAATGAAAATATGTAGGCCTTGTTCACACCAAGCGCGTTCCAGGAGCAGAGCAGTAGAACAGTAGAAAGGCATCATGGCACACTCACAAACCAGCATGTAAAACAACTTGTCTCACCACTAAGGACAATGACAGAGGTTTGGATACACGTCTTCTGCAAAGGATGTGTAAGCCGCACTGCCGCGCCATGGCACCTCAGGAGCAGAGCAGTCCCAGACCCGATCAAAACTGCGTCCAATGTATTCCAATGTAATTTTTAGCTCCAGTTCACACCGCAGCGTTCAGTTCCAAAGCAGGTAAAAAAAACTGCAGCAGGCCCTATTTTAACCTGCTGTGGAACGCATGCAAATCACCAAAGACACATGCAAACGCCCTGGAACGCACTAAAAGCCCATTCTAAACTAACAACAAAATGTGGCAAAAACGCGGCACAACCCACTGCACTGCGTGTGCAGAAACTCATGCAGATCTGGTCTGCATTTGGTGTGAACAAGCCCTTAAGGAACTAAATTTCAGTATACAGAAAATACATTGCATCCACCTAAGTACAGTATATAAAAGAGGATGTGCTTTGTGGTTGCTTTGTTTAAATCAGCAATGTAAAACGAATACATTGTACAGATATTACAGCATTCCCATTACTGAAATAATACATTTAAATCGATAAATCACTAAATCACTACCCTAATTGCCATCTCATCAAAAAATATTTTTGAAACCCCAAAAACTCACAAATTTAAATCCCACTCAATAGGCAAAATTTTCACCCTTACTCGCCAACTTTTTATATGGGTTGGTGGAGGAGCTCTGCATTTTTCTGACTGGGAACCCCTTTGGTTAGTATGGCTGCTGTAAAGATCACCTGTTATTAATTTGGCTGGGGACACAGGACAAATTGAGTATGGATATTCGCCAAGGTGTTGGCCCCTATAGTAGGCCTGCTGAGTTCTTGTGGCACCCCATTGTGGGATATTTAGCCAACTTAGTGTTGAACAGTCAGCATGGACTCTTTCGGACAACATGTAGTTGGTGTTATAGCAATTTGAATGAATCCTGAACTTTCAGAAATCCTTGTTAACCGACTCATTGTTTAGAGTACCTTGGTCTAGTTCTCGACACAGCTCAGGCCACGATGTCCCTTCCAGTGGAGCTGGCCTACAATGGTTTTGTTTGCCAGTGTCCCATCCTTGTGTAGGCAGCAGTATAACTCGAGGGGTAAAGACTTCCTTTGTCCTGCCATGGACTCCAAGTAAAGGATTGTAGGGTGAGTACAAAAATGCTATTTTAAATGATCCCTGATTAATACCTAATCAGCAAAATTAATCTATAAGTAATACATTTAGAGAAAGAGTCATCACAACTGTCCTGCAGTCAGGGGATGTGGATAAGTAATAAACAAAACAATGTTGTGCAGGTATATGCTAAATAGAATGTGTTTTTTCGTGGAGAAAGATCTGCATTGTACGTGACGTACATTACTATACTGTTTAAGAATGTAATGGTCAATCAAAATAGGAATGAAGTATTATATTTATAACTCTTTCATTTTTTTTCACAGATCTGACTTATGAGCTGACAGTGAAGAGTTCTGACCAGACAGGTATGATGTTTTCAATGTAGGAGTGATTACATATGAAGCACTGCACACTCCCGATGTTAATCATTATTATTTATTTAAACACTGGAATCATGGTTCTAAATTCCAAATGAACAAGCTCTAGTTTTCCTTTATCATCACCATATCACAGATTGGACTTTTTCTATCAGGTTTATGTTTTCACAATGCATATTGGATATATTCACTGTGAAAACATAAACCTGATAGAAAAAGTCCAATCTGTGATATGGTGATGATAAAGGAAAACTAGAGCTTGTTCATTTGGAATTTAGAACCATCACACACTGCTCTCTTTTCAATGATTCCTCTTTGTGGGCTTCAAGTGCTTTCCTTTGTGACTTTTATTTTAAGACTATGCTTGGACAGTGCAGGGATTTGTGTCTATAGTTATAGAATAAAATCGTATTAGTATTTGCCTACATCAGTATAGAATTAGAAATCTATTAGACAGGAGGTGTTATTTTTTATTTTATTCCTCCTTCCTTAAATATTTGCTTATATATAACTCTGTTGCATGCTATAAACTGGCTGTCTCTTTAAGTGTCACTAGAAAGCTAATCACCAGCCATTTGTTGCAATCATGTCATATTTAAAAAAATATCCCCTGAGAATTTCAGGAGATGCATTTACAGGACATATATAGATGCTGTATGAAAACTTGTTGCAGGCTGTATTGATCAGCACTTAGCTGACATATGATTGCAAATCCCGGACCTGGGAACAACAAATGACCCTTCATATTGATTTTCTAGCCATTAGTGTCCTTGAGCACACACACCAGCCTTTCATGTGGTGCCACATTGAAAACAGAACACTGCTTGCAGCCTGAAATCTGAGCTTGTAAAAGAATAAAGTATGGCAAATTCATGAATATTTTATTTTCTGCAGTTTGTGGACTAAGCTATTCTCTTTCCAATTCTCCAGTAAATATCTAAGGGGGTTATTTACTTAGCTGCCGAAGGCAGCCTAGTGAATAACCGAGCCGAAGTGAACAGAGCCGAACGACATTCGGCTATTCACTACGGCTCAGTGCGGCTGATTTCAGTGCAGAGGGACTTCGACTCGGACGATCCAACATTTGGATCGGCTGAGCTGAAGCTCCGGCAGCTCACTCGCTGCCGTTCACCACTATTCTCGTAGTGAGTGAATAGCCGAATGACGTTGAGCGGCATTCGACACGGCTATTCTGCTCGGTACCTCCAAGGTACTGAGCGAATAGAAAATAAGTGAAAATAATGAAAAACAAAAGTTGAAAAATTATTTACATTTTTTTTTAAAATAGGACAATGAAAAAAAGAAATAAACTATTTTAAACAAAACAAACAAAAAAAATAGGACACAAGCCGACCCGACCGCATGCGAGTGACAGCTAGCTCCACCCAACTGTTTCCAATTGGCCGGCACCTGTCAGTCTTCTAGCAGGTCCCAGCCAATTGAATAAGAACTATGCGGAGACCAGTTGTTATTGTTTAATGACAGATCAGCGTCCCCAGGTCATTTGGGGACTCTGATCTGTCATTACAACTGGGCGGAGCAAACCGTGAGCACTCAAAATTAAATAGTTTGCTAAGGCATCTTTTAATAAGGGGATACTAGTAGAATTGTAAGCCACATATCAAGAGGTCTTGATACGGTATAGGGACAAGGTGTTTTTCCAGGGGGGACCCTGGAAAAGCACCCTCCCAATGCAGAGGGCATGTGGACTGGTATGGTGCGGAGGAAGGGGGCGCTCGCTCGCCCCCCCCCTTTCCTGCCCTGCCAGGCCTGTGCTCGGATTAAGGGTCTGGTATGTAATTTTAAGGGGGAACCCATGTCCCCCCCCCCCCATGTTTTGAGGGTGGAGATTCCCCCTTAAAATGCCTACCAAACCTAAAGGGCCTGGTATGACTTTTTTTATTTTTAACTTGGGGTCCCTCCTAACTTTCCTACCACACATAAAGGGTCTGGTATGGTTCAGGAGGGGGACCCCACGCTGGTTTTTTTTTCTTTTGTAAAAAATTTTTTATTCTACTATTATATTTTATTATTTATTTGTTAACATTTGTATAAAGAGGGCCTTTTTAATGTAGCAGCTTGGGATTTAGCATGTATATTTGAGTGTTGCCTTTTGTGCATTTTGTTTTTAGTGTGAGAAATTTATGTAGTGCAGTTTTTCATATGATTGGTTATATTAGAGAACTACAGTATGTCATTAGTCTGTATTAATACTTCTGCCTTATTGCGCTTTCCTCTCCCTGTTTCTGTACGCCTTTTTATATTTCCCTTTTTCATTAAATGTGTAAATACCTTGTCTGCATGTGGAAATGTGCAATCATGTATAATATGATAGTGTATACATGTATGTATATGGAAGGCTGGACTGATTAGGTTGAAATAACTCTCCATAGATATTGTGGGTGTATGTGTCCAGTTAGGAAGTTCTGTCAGAGAGGTGTGGATTAGATCCTTCACGTGTAGTTTAGGTTGCATTGTCTGGCCTTCAATGAAGCCAGGACTTTCTCTTTATACACCAAACTAACCATTAGATGGTTTCTGAAGTCAAATTAAAATAAGCATGAGCAAATTCCGACAGCTAAATATGTCTAATATTTCATTTTACTTTTTCTAGGCGATAGTATTTCAAGAAGTGATGAACTTAGGAGAAGATGTGAAGAACTGGAGGCTCAGCTAAAGGACAAAGAAACAGAGAACAACGAGTTGTTAAAGGAGTTAGAGCAGAAAAATGCTATGATTATGGTGCTTGAAAATACTATTAAAGAAAGAGAGAAAAAGTACTTAGAAGAACTAAAAGTTAAAAGCCATGCATTGAATATGCTGTCCAGTGAATTGGAGCAGAGGGCCAGTACCATTGCTTATCTCACATCACAGCTGCACGCTACCAAAAAGAAGCTGTTCGGTACCAGTGGGGCCCCTGAGGTAGCCCCTCCTGGCAGCCCAGTAATGTCTAGTTACAAGCCATCTCCTCCCAAAGAAAAGCAGCCCGAGACTCCAAGAAGAAGAATGAAGAAGAGTCTGTCCACACCACTCAATGCTGACTTTGCAGAGGTCTACAGGCTAGGAGCAGATGGCCGAAAGACAATGTTACGTGAATCTGTGGATGCCATGCCAGACCCTACTCCTTTTTTATTGGCGAGACAGTCAGCGGACACACAGATCATCAAAGAGAGGCCACTTGTCATTCCTCCGATTCGCTCTGATTCCAGCAGTCCAGCTAAAGAGAAGAAGCAGAGGGCCCATGTTGGGGTTGCACATCGAATTCCTCATGCCACCTCTGTTCAGAGTCAGGTTGGACCTCAGCCAGAAGTTGAAACCTTAGCAGTGGATCAAGTTAATTCAAGCAAAATTGTTAGGAAGCACTCAGGGACTGACAGAACTATTTAAATCTATTTATGTAACTACTATGTTAACACCTTAACACATATTTGGCTTTTTATGCACTGTGTGACCAGATAAGATTAAGATAAATACAGGAGGTAGATTTGATTTCTTTTTTACATTTTGCTATTTTCAATCCCCTGCATGCCAAATGTAAGCAGATTTGCTGATAAAATGCTGCTGTCCTGGGACTCCAATGGCACATTCAAGTGCTGTGACAAGATGTCAGCCTATATAAAGCTTCGTCCAGTGTTTTCAACTTATAACCAAGTATGTCAACCAAAGCACATACCTTCAAAGTTGCCACTTGTACAATACTTGAACAGAACACACCGATATAGTTCTGACAAGCTACATAAGGCTGTTAACACATAATGCTCGATAAGGCTCTAGTCTGAACACTGTATAACAATGCTTATATCATATTGGCAGCAGTGAAAAGAAAGCAGTTATCATGTACTGTATATGTCTGATTCTATTGAATATTACCCAGTACTCACTGATTTCAATGCAGTGTCTATCCTTTCAGTGTGTTTAGCAGTTTCTTTTAAGTAAACTATAAGCTAATTGCCAATTAAAATATGTCTCATCACTGGTAATGCTCTTCAGGCTTGGTCTTTAAATAGAACATTTCTGTAATGGATAGAAGAAAAGGGGATCTCTATGTGAACAAACTAACAAACCTCTCTCTGGTTCCGCTTAGAATTTAAATGATTGTTTTATTAATTACATACCTTGTTTCTCTTCTTTTTTTTTTTCCCCAGCCTGTGATGTCATCACAGGTCTCTAATCTTCCTCTCCTCAGCAGTAGTCAGTGGGATGGATTAGCAGGAATGTGACTGGCAGCTGGATGTGCGTTGCTTTGCATGGCTGCATGGGGAGGTGACAAGGCACTTTTAGCAAGTGAACCCTGCAGTTGTGTGTGTATTTCTGCCAACACAGTGTTTTATGTGAAGCCATATTCAGAGCACATTTTTACAATGAGCAAATCGACGGCTGACTCTGTCCTACAGGGACTCTGCAGAATTTTGTGTTGCTAGGCAACACAGTATTTTACTCTTTGGCAGGATAAAGAGGCAGTAGGGTCAATCACCCTGCTCTCTGCCTGTGGTGAATTACAAGGGGACAGTGAGATGATGGGAGGTCCTGCTTATAGGAAGCAGGCGTCAGTAACCAGTCCTTATGTGAGGAAGTGGAGGCCTATTATGTGACACAAGGGAAACTTTTGAGAAAGACTGGAACACTAGAATGTAGGAGAGAAAGAAAGAAGATTGATCCTGTTTAAGGTAAGCTGTATTATTTATGGGTTTTTTTTTTATTGTTCCTGGAGTTCAACGTTAACCCTTTAAGTCAACTGAAGATAGACATGACTTAAACATTTTAAAAGGCATAGACCTTTTGCCTGGGGTGGACAAAATTATGCCACATCAAGGAGTTGTAATTTGAAATACACAAAATAAACTAAACAAGCACATCTACAAAAGGTAATAAGCCTGTATCCAAAGCCAATACTTAAAAAAATGCATAAAATTGTCTAAGGATGTCAAAACCTGGACCCCTAAGCAGCGGAAAAATTAGTAAAGTCTGATGAATCATACTTTGCTCTATTTCCAACTGCCGTATGGGCTTAGCTGGAGCCCATACGGCAGTTCATTCTCAGAGGTTGGAGGTTCGACTCAGCCGATCCAGATGTGGGATGGGCTGAGTCGAACGTGTTCTTCCCTTCGTCTCAGTCGAACATGCTCGGCTGAACTGAAGCCAGCCAAAGCAAGCCGATGTACGGCTAATTTCAGCCGATGTACGGCTGAAATTAGCCGTACTGTGCTAAAGTGAATAGGATCTATGCAGGATCTATGGTGGGCTCTGCGGGTCTATGATGGGGTGTATGGGTGTTAAATCCTATGGGCACGAAAATTTTGATAAACTCCCCTCAGTGTTTTTAATGAGTTGGCCAAATTGTAGACTTGGAGTAGTCAGGAACAACTATTATGTAGCCAGGACGGCCTCTTTTTCAAAATCAATGTGCTTGTGTGGTGCAGTTGCCATTCATTTCATAAGAAGGCCTGCCAATATTTGCAGCACTATACAGAGTAGGTGCCCCACTTTAAATCTTACACTTGAGACTAGGTTTATAAGAAAGCATTACTAGTGATGCCTCA